CGGAAATAACTTGATCAAAATAACACACTTATAAATACATATTGTGCTGGACGAAGACGATAGTGCAGCGATGGAAGAAGGGTGCATTGCGGGTGAGAAGAACAATTTCAGTTACATATTTACAGAGTTATGGATAGGTGGTTACAAATACTAAAAATAATAAGAAGTAAAATACTAGAAAGTATAATAATACATAAAATAAAAAAAGGCAAAACAGTGAAAACAATACATAAAATAAGGCAAAATACGTTCAAGGTTTACAGTTCAAGGAGATAAATATATACAGGGAATAAGATAAGCCGAATAAGCTAACTTAAGATAAAATTAAATCACTACAGGTACAGAGCAGACACGGGCTGTGCTGGTGACGAGGATTGTAGCTAAGAATTACTTCAGCCTGTCTGAGATTTTGCGTGCAATATTTATGCAATCGCATATGCATTTCAATGCATTGCAATTTTTTGAAATAGCTTCGGCCCATGCATGGATGTAGTTTGCTACTGGTTGCGTAAGATGATATTTGGTGGTCTCTCTGCAAGCGAACAGATAGTGGTTCGGATCTCCTACCATCCCGCATGAGCAATGCTTGTTTTCGCGTCGTCTGAAGCGATGCAGGTAAGTCATGAAGGGACCATGTCATGTTAGATACTGAGTGAAGTGGGACGAGCCAGATTTTAGAAGCTGGCAGACTTTTGGAAAAAATCTGTTAACTCTTCTGCCGGTGGTCTCTGTCTCCCACAGACATTGCCAACGTTTGAGTAATTCTTTCTCGAGCTCAGCTTTTAAGAACGAACCCGGGGGAGGCACGTCAAGTGTGCGAACATGGGGGTCAGTTGCTGCTCTTTTGGCCTATTGCATCTGCAAATTTCATTACCAAGTATTTCCAGTGTGGGCAGGTAACCACTGGAGTTCAGGCCTATAATATTTTGGTGCTTCTTAAGTAAGAGTTTTTGTATGGCCCTGAAGACTGGATTTTTACTACATGTGCCTTGGATTGCTTGGAGGCTAGAGGTTGAGTTTGAATATATACTGGAATAGTTATTTTCCAATGTGCATAGACAAGTGCAGCTTTTAATGCAATCAGTTCAGCCTGAAAAACTGAGTTTGTGTTGCTTAAGCTTTCTTCCCCCAGGTCTTTAAGATCTGGTTCCCAAGTAGAACACAGTATCCGCTACCGGTGCCACATTCTCCTTTGGAACCATCGGTGTAGATTGCAGTGGCGTTGAACCACGTTGGTGACCTGCAGTTAATCGAGAATTTGAATTCGGCAAGGTGGCTCGGGAATGCTTTGCTCATAGTCAGTATAAACGTAAGTCCTGTCTCATAAATGTATTGTCTCTTTGAGTCGGAGCACTCACACTATCCCCTGTATCCAGTTCCATAGTTACGGTTTTTCTTCTATGTTCACTTGGACCATTATGGGTGGTTTCCTATTTTACACTTCACTGGAATATATTCTGTTTATAGGAACTGTGTTTTCATTTCCTGTATGTAATTTTTTTTTGTTTTACTTTCATTCATTCAGCATTGTAGCATGCTCTTTTAATGTGCCCAGTTTTCATACAAAATCTGCAGTCTTAAATTTACAAGAATTTCATGGTCAGTCCCTGTACATCACGAACAACCTTTTACACTCTTAGCTGAGAAGTTTGGTTTTTCAGACTTTTGTTTTGGAGTGACTGACTTAGATTTACCTTTATTCCTGGCACTAAATTCCTTAATTTCCACTGATTTCCCAATTATTTCGTTTGCACCTTTTAACGCTTTTTTCCTTTACCAAAGCTATTTTTAAAGTGTCATCTAAAATGATATTATCCTGCTCAAAAATTCTATCCAGAGTAGCCCTATTTTTTAGCCCACAAACAAATATGTCCCACAACATCATATTTAACATATTCTGATCGTAAGCACACGGTTTGGCAAGTAACCTTAACTGTGCCATATACACACTAATAGTTTTCCCCTCATGCTGCTTTGGATCTAAAAATACATGCCTGCTAGGAATTATAAGTGGCTTAGAATTTAAATGATTTCTCAGTGTTGTTTATAACACATCATAATCTTTATCAAAAGGATATCAGGAGCCAGCAAGTTTTTTTGAGACTATACTTTTTCCCAGACAAACTGGAAATTAGTACTTTCCCACGCTTGTCCTGTGAAACATTTTGTATATCTAAATAACTTTCTAATCTCTCTAAAAATGAATCAAACTGTTCTTCATGTTCATTATATTTTTTCAAACTGAACTAAAAGTCTCAAATTGTCATTTGTGGAGTAATAACTGAAGTAAGCTTCTCCATTAGAGCTCTATTAACTCAGTTACAAGCTGCTCCATGGTGAATTCTCTGAAAGAAAAATGATTATAAAAACTTTACCTTATCCAGAAGTTATTCCGATAGCATTAAAACATGTTGCAAAGGCATTTTTATTATTTTCAAAAATCTGATGTCCTTGTTGCCAGATGTTGTATATTTTTAGTGGGTAATTGTTTTACAAGACACTGTATTTAATTATATGCTACTTTATTATGTACAAAACACAACATCCTCGTATACACACGTATCACTACAACTACTCGCATTTCAGTCTTAGTTCTGGTTTTCAATAACTTCGCACACTTGTCATGCTTGGCACTGTGCCAGCTTTAAGTCTGATTATGATAAAATTCTCGATACACCACATCAAAAGCAAAGAATTTTAAATGAATTTGAAATGTGAACCTAAATTTTTTTTTTTTATGAAAAATTAATAAAACTATCTATTAGACAAAGCAACAGCCCTGTGTTTGGCATAAATTTTAACTAAGACTGTATTGATTTTGAGGGCGAATAGGTACCTTTTCAACAGGAACAAAAAAATTCTGCAATGAAGGGAGGAGCCACAGCCGTATTTATACCAAAGCAAAGTAAAGCGAATGAAAAGGTAGTGTCATTTGTCCACAGAAATAGTTAACAACATGAAAAATTTAGTTAATAGTGGAATTAAAGTCATTAACATAATTATTTTTTGTGAATGTGAAAAGCTTCAAGAAAATTCAATTCACCAATTTTTTGGATAATTTTGTAGACCCCAAGTTAAAACTGTGATTAAATTTCCAAAGAAGATTAAATCAAAGATTTGTTTATTGCTTCTTTTTGGACATACGATTTGTGTTCCTTGATGCAAATCTTTAATGCTCTTTTAATTTGGCTGATGTATCTCAAATCACATTGGCAATATATAATATAAATTCTCAGAGAATTAAAGTTAGAAATGAAATCGTAAGAACCAAACTATAAGTTTATTAGAGGTTAGAAAATTATTTGAATGCCTGAAAAATCCATGTAATTTTGTAATTGATAGAAGGATGAAATGGAAGAACAACAAGGTTATGTTATGTTTAAGACTGGAATGTCTTTTTGATGGCAAGTCAAAAATTTTCTAAAGGTTTTAGCAGTGACCAAAGGAAAAAATCCTCTGTAACTGTGCAACTGATTTCAAATATATGAGTTCATTAGAAAGCAGAAAAGCAAACTTTGAGAGCATGAAATACATAATAATAGTACTGAAATCAGTTTTGTAACAGATTATAAAAATATCAAGCAAGGTAAGGGTACTGTTGGATTCAGTTTCAAAAGTGAACTGGTTGGCTGGATCAATTCAATTTATAATAGATAAAATATGGGATAAATCTTTATTACTATCAAAAAAGGCGAAAGTACCATCTTCCGTAGCAAATCCAGAGATGAAACAAAACAGGATTACTCATAGCTAATCCTTCAATCTGGCAATAATATTTATTTTGGAAAACAAAGTGGGTTTGACTCGAATATAATTTAATAAGAGAAATTAACTCTTCAATTTCAATGTAAGTGAAATAGAATTCTAAACCTAGTTTTGAGACATTTTAGTGCTCTTTCTAGTGGAACATCAGTAAACAGTAATATAACATTGAAAGAAAACACAACTGAGTGCAAGAAAAAATATATTTAAGTTTATCGATGACATCAAAAATTTTTTTGCAATGTGAATATTGTTAGAAAATAAAAGAGAAAATCTAGAAACTAAATATTTGGCCAAAGGATATGATGCTGTTCCATAGTTGGAAACTATAGTTGGAATTTGAATTTTGTGGACTTTGGGAAGAGTATAAAATCTAGCACAGTTAGTAAAAGGTGGAATGAGTGATTTTAATTTCAGTTGGGAACACATGAGAAGATTTAACAGCTGTATTAACTTTCATGCGATCAGAAGTTGATCTTTAAGGATCAGGCAGTATGGGCTTTTATTTATCAGATTTGTGGTGTTTGTCCATAAGAATGATCTGTCCACTGTTATCAGCTTTGCAAATGATAACGTTAGGATGAGAATGAATTTCTCGTTAAGGCCTTCCTTTCCTTATGGCTACAATTTAAAAGAATACATTTATTATTAAAATTCATGTTTATAAGTGGCAGATTGTACTTTCCCTTGCTTTGGGTATAAAGCAATAAATATGGTTGTAGTTTCTCCGTTCAATTGCAGAATTTCTTAGCTTCTGATGATAGACTTTATTTGCTTCTGATGAAGAAACCTGTACATGTTTACCCTCGAAATCGATAGTCTCAGTTAAAATCTTTGCCGAAACAAAGTTGTTGCTTTGCCTAATTAGATATTTTACTTTGGCATGTTTTTCTTCTGTCTTAATGAGAATATTTAGAGATCAGGTCTTGTTTATATAGTTTCTGTGTCAGCCCTAAAATGGATTTTCATATATTTATTATTCTTATTATTATATTTAATTTGTCGTAGACTGACTTTTTTGAGTTTATTAGACACAATAACAATTTTATAATAGAATTAATGATTTAATTTCTCCCCAAAAATGAATAGACAAATTGAGCAGAATTAATTAAAAGCAAATAATGTTTATTTTTATAAGAATTGCTAATTTCACAGTTTATGTAAATTATCACTGAAACAAGTTCTGCATTTTTTATACCTAAGAAATAAATCTGCTAAATGCTATAATATTTTATGCTGTATGTTATAATAATAATTTCCTTGATAGGCATGTACAGAGATGGTTATGCCTACTTGCCAGAATGGTGTAACTGATATGTTTGAGCCTGTGCCATGGAATTTTTCTTCTTATTCAGACAGTTGCTGGCAAAAATGGAAAGTAAAGGCTGATTTGAAAAAGGCTGTTATTATTTATGGAGGGAAAAATATCACAGCTTCAAGCAATATAATATTTAGGTGAGTAAGAATGAATTAGGAAATATGGGCTATTTTGATATTTAAAAATGGTTAAATTCAACATGCATTTTTTGGCTTATTATAATGTCTTAAATTTGGATTAAGATTATAAAGTAAAATTTCCATCAGCATCATAAAATTAAATTTCAGGATAAGAAAGGCACTAAATATATCACACATAATACTGAAGAATTAAAAGGCATACACAATAAAATAGACAAAAAGAGAGAAGAAAAAGTTTTGCTTTACACACATTAAAAATCATGTTATAATGGTAAGGATAAATGTTAATAATGTTATATCAGGACTTTCAGAGGTGGCCTGTAACTCCATTACCTAAAATCAGTCTGTAAAATTAGAGCTTTTGCAGGCAGCCCATCTCCTTTATGGACAGAATGTATATATTTATCAAATTCCAGCTGAAGGTGCAGATGGGCTGCCCGTGAAAGCTCTAAAATTACCAATGTTTTAATGTGATTTATAGCATGCAAACCAAAGCTAAAATAACATAAGGTGAAAAATGAAAAAAACAAAAATAGTTCATATATATTAGCATTAGATTATCAAAATACAGTAGACTCCCGATTATCTGCGCCTGCCGCATGAAGTCTTTTTTTTTTTTTTTTTTAACAAGCGTAAAGAAAAGAAAAAAAAAAATTCACAAAACTGAGCAAAACGTACAGTTTGTTAACATCGTGCTTATTTATGGCAAAAATATCCCAGGCCTTCTCAGACCATTGCCCTCTGATGAGTAAGTGATTTCTTACTCACCCTTGCAGTGCCCACTCCACCACCCTCTCTCGTCTTACTGACATGTCCATTTCCTCCCACTCGCCATTGTTAGTTTAAGCCTGATAGTGTTTGCTAACCGGTCGGAGTTAATTTTTTATGTTTTATTGTGTTCCGTGCTTGTGCTTTTTGGTTTTGTGTTTTTCGTTACCGATTTAAAATGTTAGGAAAACGAAAAAAGGTTGTGTAAATGATTGTGCAAAAACTAGAATTAATTTCCAAAGTAGCAAATGGTGCTACAAGGCAGCAGATGGAATTGGATTACGGAATATCAGAAACAACAGTGCATGACATTCTAAAGCAAAAAGACAAACTGGTGAACTTTGCATCAATGTCGGACAATGCTTCCGCAATGAAAACGTGAAAAACTATGAAGGGTTCTACCTTTGATGAGCTAGACACGGCATTGATAGAGCGGTTAGCTCTAGTTCGAAAAGAGGGTACTCCTGTAAATGGTCCTATCATTGTGGCAAAGGCAAAAACCTTTTTTGAGTTGTTAGGCCTGAAAGGAAATTTTGATGCGTCTTCTGGCTGGTTGACTCATTTTAAGCAGCGACATGGAATTCCAGAAATTGGATTTCATGGGGAGAAACTTAGTGGTGACCAACAAGCAGCTGACGATTTCCACCATGAATTTGAAGAATTTGTTTTAAAAGAAGAGCTATCTTTTGAACAAATTTACAATGCCGATGAATCGGGACTATTGTGGAAATGGCTTCCCACTCGCACTTTAGCATTTGAAAGTGAAAGTAAAGCGGCGGGTCATAAAAGCAGCAAGGAAAGGATCACTATCATGTCTTGCAGTAACGCTACCGGTGGAGATAAACTTAGACATCTTGTCATTGGAAAGTCTCAAAAAAAGGGGGGGGGGACTTTCAACGGCACAAGAATAGAAAATTTGCCCATTGATTACTTTAACAAAAAAAAAAAGGGGGGGTATGGATGAACCGAAACATTTTTCAAGAATGGTTCGAAAAAATCTTTGTTCTTCAAGTGCGTAAATATCTTAAATCGAAAAAGCTGTGCTATTGATCAAAAACGCATATTTTCACCCAGCAACAAGCGTGCTAAAGTTTTCTGATGGACAAATTTTTACAAAGTTTTTCTCTCCAAATGTTACTGCGCTAATCCAACCCATGGACCAAGGAGTCATTGCAACAATGAAGAGAACATACCCAACCAAGCTGCTAATGACCAAAATTGAAGAAGGTTATGATCTGAAAGAGTTTTGGAAACACTACACAATCTTGGCAGCCTCTACGACATTGCATCTGCATGGGACTCAGTGAAACCATCAACCCCCATAAAATCATGGAGAAAACTCATGCCTAATGTTGAAGACAACAACAACCTAACCCCTTTGAGTTGTGAAGAAGAGAATGAAGATGTAGACACGCCCACGGCAACTCTTGCTGATATGGTAAAAACAGTTCCGGGTGGTGAGAATGTCGATGCTGAAAACATTAACGAGTTGTTGGAGTGTGACGTCAACAAACCTGGCTTCGAACGCTTGACAGATGACGAAATTGTGAAGAAAGCAAGGGGAGAGACCGAGAATGAAGTACAGCGAAGTGAAGGTGAAGAAGAGCCCACTGTGCAGATGCGGAAGACTCACAAAGGGGCTTTGCAACAAGTCGACGGACTGCCGAGCTATTTGGAAGAACAAGACAACGCGGAGTTGGCCGAGAAACTTATGCTACGAAAAATGTAATCTCGGATCAAGAGAAAATGCTTAGTGTAGTTTTACAGTTATGCTTTTGTAATTACATAATACATTACAGTATTAAAACAGTACATAGGTATTAATTTTTCTGTGTATCCTTGACGCCTCTCGTAAGTATATAAAGCACTTCTCTGTTTTCATTAACAAAATGCATTTTAGGTTAGTTTTGAGTGATATACTAAAATATTAAGCATTAGTTAAACAGTTCCTACTGTTTATTTTACGTTTTATTGTACATAAAACTTTTTTTTAAAGTTGGAATGACTGTTTTTTCTTTTGTTATACCCGTTTTTAGCACTTTTAGGATTATCCGCGATTTTTGTTATCTGCGGCGGCCGCGCCATTCAATTCCGCGGATAATCGGGAGTGTACTGTATGGGAATATCTTATTGATTTCTAAAGGGTTAAACATTTTTGCAAAATAAAAATTGAAATGGAAGAATCACTAAATTTTATATTGAATTGTTTACATAGATTACAACAGGTATAATCTACTGTTAATTAAAGAAAGTGAGAAAAAAGGGATTTTTTTTTTTTTTTTTTTCCTGCAGAGCCTGTTCCAGTTAATTAAAAGAAGGGAGAAAAAATGGATATAAAATTTTTCTATAGAGCTTGTTATAACTTTACCTGATAAAACAGAAATTATGATGATGCTGAATTCTATTAAATGAAATTTGTTAAAATACAAGCCAGTGGAACACAAATGCTTCACTTTGATTAAATAAAAATAACATTGCTGCCAACTGATATATATATTTTAATCATTAAATACAACTAAAACTCAAAAGTATTTCAGTTTTAAAAGTTTGTATTTATTTATTTAACATGAAATTGTATAAACAGAAAATAAATCAAATATTATTGAAAAGCAGTTAGTCTAAATAAAATTTAATTATTGCACTCTCTACATAATTTTATCATAATCATTACATTTTGATATAAAGGTTGTCCCAACAAAAGTGTTGGATTTAATATTCTGAATACAAGAAATTTGTTAAAATAAGTACTTTATTTTTAGAAAATGGAAAATATTTTTATATGTTTATAACAGGTAAATGCTCAGAGTTAAGAATGAAAAATAATGTATGACATATGTCCTTCAGTTTTTGCTTTGTAACACAGCACTCTTTCGATGAAATTCATAATCACTTCTATAGAGGTGCCTAACGACACATTGAATCTATTCTTTCATTATTAGTCATTCTAGGATTAAGTTTTGGGGATTTGCAATAACACTGTCACACACAATAACAATGTCTTAAACAGACTGGGTGGATCGAGAGGGTGGTGATTAAATGTCTGTTGTCGAACTTGGGTCTTGTCTTTATCAATCTACAAACTGTTGTTTCACTAGGTGAACTTTTATATCCAAAGATTGCATGAAGCGTTCTAACAGTCTATGCATAACACTTGCCATTCTTTTACAGAGTTTTCACAATCAGAACTTGCTGTTCCTTTGCATAAAGCTCTATATCGACTGCAACAAAGCTACAAAGTGAACAGACAATGATAAAATGCCAGATCTGCCTGGTCAAATCTAACTTGACATTCTTAACTTGGAACATTAATGTGTTTTAAGGGTGTAAAAATATGATCCATTTTCTAAAAATAAAGTACTTTTTTGGAGCATATTAAATCAGCACTTCCATTGGGACATTCTATAGATGATCATAAATAGTCATTATTTTTTATATAGATGATCTATATACCGAAACTAATTGTAGAAATTTTTTCAACTGAAGTACATATGGTTAACAATAGAGTGTACTTCATAATACTTCATTAGTGCCTTTTATTAATTACAGTTATGAAGTAAACATAAAGGGCACTAGTTGCTAAATATAACTAAAATGGATTATTATTTTTTAATGGTTTCTGGTTGTTCTGCTGAAGAGCAGTTTTATAATACAGAAAATAAATTTTATGCCTCAATAAATGGCAACAACATTGCCAATTTGGAACATGAGATATGATCTCTAATTTATGACTCAATTAGTATTTAGAAATATAAGGACACATAGTATGATAATCCAATCCTGAAAGCCAAATATAAACAATTTGTTGTTCTAAGTTTGTTATTACGATGGCAACATTCAATGGAATTCAATCATTGCCACAGTTATCCATTTCCAGTCCAGAGGACGATATAAAAAGCTTGGTTATACAGTTTCTACATGTCTGCCTGACTGAATAAAAATTGGCAATTTTTTTTAAATTGTAGAACAACATTTGTTACAAATTGACATTTTAAATTAAAATTAACATTTGTTAAAAATTAACATTTGTTAATTGTTAACAACAACAACACACAAAAAAAAAAGCTTCTATTCAAAACGATGAAATATAAGTAAGAGCTCCAAAATATGCAGCTTCCCCCCCCAAAATGATTTAATAAATGCCTAACATACAAATAAATGTGAAATTTTATATATGCATAACATATGCACACTGTCAGAAGTTAATACTATTGGAAATATTTTAAATTTGTGTTGTGAAGATAGGTTTTCTTTATAATTTCATTTTGCTTACGAGTTAACAGATAACCTTGATAAGGCATCAGCATTCCCGTGTGAACTGCATCTGCCGTATGTCAAAGTAATGTTGTAATGCTAGGGCCCAATGAGATAGTTTAGCACCATGAGGAGTAGGTGAAGGGATTGTGGTCAGAAACAATTTGTACTTTGGCACCGAAAATCCAAGTGTGAAATTTTTTCAAGGCGTCGATGATGCAAAACGTTTCTCTTTCTATGGTTGACCATCGTTGTTGATAGGGAGTTAGTTTTTTACTGAAAAATGCTATGGACATCTCTTTGCTATGTTCATCATTTTGAGCTAAACATGCTCCAACTGCAAATGCATCTGTATAAAGTTGAAAGTGCTTGTCAATGTCCGGAGTATGCAGGGATGGCATTTTAATCAGTTCTTCTTTAAGTTTGTTGAAAGATACTTCTGTTTTAGAGTCCGACGGAATATTATTTGGAATACTGTTTTTTGTAAGATTTGTTAGAGGCAAAACTATTTCAGAAAAATTTGGGGTATAATCCCTATAGTAACTTGCTAGCCCTAAAAGACTTCTTCTTTAGTGGTAGGCTTAGACAGATTCTGGATGACTTCTACTTTCTCAGGATCTGGAGAGTGAGTTCCAGAACTCATTACATGACCTAGAAACTTCATGTTACTCTTTCCAAAATCACATCTTTCTAGGTTTGCTGTTAGACTTGCATTTCTCAAAGTCTGAAACACTTAGACGATGTGATGGAGATGGTCATCCCAAGTCTCAAATTTTGCCACATCATCAGTGTATGAACGGCAGTATTTTTTATGGTTTCCTAGTACCTTCCTTATCCATGGATTTTTGAAATGTACTCTTGGCATTTTTCAAACCAAAAGGAAGAACTTTCCATTGGTAATGTCTAGAATGAGTGGCAAATACTGTGTAAGGTTTGACTCCTTCTTTCTTCGGGATTTGCTAATATCCCTTGGTTAAATCGAGAACGGTTATGAATTTGGTTTTCCCTATTTCGAAGAGTAAATCTTTAGCAAGCATCATTGGATAGGCGTACGGAACTGCGTAGCTATTTAAAAGCCTAAATTCTATGCACAGTTACCATTCTTTTTTGCAAGCACATACCACAGGATGTGCCCATTCACTGTCACTGGTGTAAATGGCCAGCTCTGTGTAATTGATTCAAAACAGTTTTGTGGTCAATGCCCATCTCCATACCGTGCTGAAACTGATGATGTGCTTATTTTACTGGATGACCAGATCGTGACTCATCCTTTATGTAAAAATTACCAAAAGAAAGTGAGCAAACCATTTCCACGCACAAGATTCTGATAAGGTACTTTTACCATACACAACACAGATTTTCTCCTTGTGTTGTAATAATATTGCAAAATATAGCACACTTTTTCCTTCCTTTTCTTCATCATCAAACGTACACAACTTTCCATCCATTGCATCATATACGATGTTTATACACTCACAGTAATGCTTGAAGAATCATCTTTTCAGCGAACATTTAGTGGTGTTGCTGTGATCTGTATTTGAGTTATTTGCCTTCGACACCATCTATCAGAGAAAATGCCATAAACGTTTTCCGAGACCTAATATATGCTTCATTTTTTGGCATATTGCATGCAGAAAGAAGTAAAGGTTAATAATATGGTACATTTAATTTTTCCTTATTCAGTTTCTTGATGCTATTTGAATGAGTCTTTATGCATTAAATTTGCTGTTATGAACTTTTAGTATTGCATTGCCATTTATGAAGCTTATTTTGGTGAAGTAGGAGCAGTAAGAACTACAGTTCAAATTTATGGGAAAACTACTAATATCAGCAATATGATATTTTTTATGCAAGTTTAATCTATGCAGTTTGATGCAACAAATGTAAATTAACTTCATATGCTACCTCTAATAATCAATTTTAATGTTAGAAAAGAATACATTACTGTGAAACCTCATTTTCTTTGAGAATAAATTAATAGTTTTTCTTGTCAGATGAAATGTTTATAACACAAAATTCTTTGATGTATTTTAAAGCCAAAGATCATAATTAAAAAATAGTATTTCTAAATTTCTGCAGCCTTTCTGTTTTGTTCATCTGAGGCAAGTCTTACTCTTGTTCTGGTTCTTTCTTTTAATAGGGAAGCAAATAAATGAGAGCAATCATACCAACTGAAGGATTAACCATGCTATCAACTTCATAACTGTACAGGTTCTGACTTGTAATTAATATCTCTCCATAAAAGTTAACTTACCCAGATTATAAATAAAATCAATCCTTAGCTAAAATAATGCTAAGGATTGATTTGTTTGTTCATGAGTGGGACTAATTTTTACTTTAAGCATTAATAAGATTTTGCTTATTGATACTTAATTGTTTTATTTAAATAATTTTTTTTTCAAAGTTATGAGATTCCTTAATTTTTAAATGAGATTAAATTACCATGTAAAACATGGCTATACTTCACGATTACTAATGGTTGATTTTCAATTATAGCAATGGAAAACTGGATCCATGGTACAGTGGTGGTGTTTTAAAGTCTCTATCTGATACTCTAATAGCAATACAAATTGAAAATGCTGCTCACCACTTAGACTTAAGAGCTTCAAATCCATCTGATCCTCAATCAGTTAAAAAGGCAAGAAGAATCATACTGAGTTGGATTGCAAAATGGATCTCCAGGCCCAAAATATACATCTAACTTCTTTAATAATCAGCATACATAACTGATGCCTTTTTATTAGCTTATATACTTAATTTGCATTTTACGAAACTAGAGGTTTTATCAGCAAGTTAGATTTATAGTAATTTTTGCCTTTAGATACAAGATTTTAGTACATTTTTTAATATATTAATATAAAATTCCATTAACAACTTAAATTCAGTTGTTTGTTTAGTTGATATGAAATAAAATTTGTTCTATATATTTATAAATACTGTAAATAAACTTTGTTGATGCTTGATGCACACTGCTTGAAAATAACAATTATTCTTATTTTCAAATCTATTGAAGTCAAAATTTAAGATAATCATGCAAAGGCCAGACTACCCGACCAAATTTATACAGTTTGAGTAGATTATTTTTGTCATATTTTTCAAGAAAATGGAGTCATGGAAAAGAGAATGGACGAAACTTTTGCTTATCAGTGCTAATTAATGTACAAACGTATATAAATAACTGAAAAACATGATTAGTATAAAAATGTTTATAAAATACAGCTGAAATTTATGTATGAGTACACTTCTCTTAAAAAAATGCAGATGTTATAAAATGAACACCACCATTTAAAATAAAATTAAAATTTGGGAAAAAATACATAATTTATTCATTGAAGAAATTCCCTCAACCTATATATACATAGAAAGAGGAAGCTGTATTGGCATTCTTTTAACAAATGTGTGCAAAAACTGTGATGATGAATAAGATGTAGTTAATATGGCCTTGCTTTATTCATCAACATAACCTAATAGCTTTTCAAAGCACTCTTTTGCCTAATATGCTAGTCTGCCTCCATTTGCATCATTCACTCAATGTTTTGCTCTCATAAATCAGATAACCTTCATTCTCCATTCTGTGTATTCTCAGGCTGCAGCTTCATTGGATTTCCTGCTAGAGATAGCAAATCTACCCACTTTTTGATTATGAGTAATTTGGTAAAACTTCAAACTAAAACTGGTTTATCAGTAACTTTTACTAGCATTTTTGTTTTCCAAAGCATTTATTGAAAATCAAGAGTAAATAATAAAATAAGGCATTTACTAAAATTCAAAACAATTTGTGATATGTTAAATTAATGTATATACATGGTGCCCCTGAATTCATGGAAAAAACCTTAAGGTTAGGTAAAATACGTATAACAAGCATGTTTTGTATAGCAATGTGGGTTGGAAATGAAAAGTGTAGGCAGAAAAACAGGAAATGAAAAAAAGCTTTTTATTTACATATTACAGGTAAGTGCTCAGATGTGCCATCAATGCAGGCTTGGTAGCTTCTAGCAAGTCACTGGCATACTCTTTCGAAGATGCCAGATGTTTCACGAAAAGTTGCAGCAGCGACTGAAATTTTTGCAATGAGCTCCTCATCAGAGTCAACTGGAGTCTTGTAGATGAGTTCCTTGAGGTGTCCACATAAGAAAAAATCGATACTTGATAAATGTAGTGAACGTGCAGGCGAAGCAACTGGTCCCCCTCGTGCAACCCATCGAGGGTAAAGATGGTATTGAGGTAATTATGCACATTATTGCAGAAATGGGCTATAACCCATGGCATTTCAAAGAGTAACTGGAAAGCTATCGGATGATTCCGGTAATATCTCTTCTAGAAATATTCAATACGTTGTGCTGTTGAGTCACATGAATATAGTGCAAATTAAGAACTACATCTCGTGTAAAGGTCGCCAGTGAAAAATACGGTTGCAGAGAAGCTCAGAATAAATGTACTCTGCTGCAAAAACCAATGATAGAAATCTAAATGGCAAGGATAATCAGCTGCATTCAGTATTTGTGTTCTCTATAAGTGGTATGGAAAAAGTCTTTCCTTGTGTAAAATTTTCCATATGGTATTTTTACCTGACATCTGTAGTCTGTGCAATTGATCTTGAACTAGGATTTTTTTCAACCTCTCTCAGAATATGTTTTTCCATTTCTGGAACTTGTAAATGTCTTGAGAGACCAGCATTCGGTCTCTTGACATGAAATGAACCACTCTCGCAAAAGCTGGTGGTGTAAACACAGAACAATTTGTGATCTGGCTTTGTCCTGTTAAGGAAACATTCATGCTACAATGTTAACACTCCTCTTCTGGTACAATTTGCATGTCTCAGATAGCATAAACTGCTCCATCACTCACAAAATTTTCTAGAAGCGAAGAATTATTTGAAACTCACATAATGCCATTCAAACTCAAAAAATTGATTTGCAGATTTGATACTGCAAACTAAATAAACCTGCAAATTTGATATTTTTCTTCCCCAAAAGCTATGTCAATTGTGTACTTAAAAAAAATCTTTTAGAAAAATACATATAGCATAAGTGTTTGTGACACTGCCCTCTACCATCCACAATATACCCTGATCATTGAATCAATACTTCCATGGCTTTATCACTATTAATGATTAGATGTTTCAGCACTTAATGTAATATTGTGTAAATAAAGAGTTTTTTTTTCCATTTCCTCTGCAGTTTGTTTTATCGCCTACACTTTTCGTTTCTGACCCCACACTGCTATTCAAGAAATGCTTCTTAATATGTATTTTATTTAAGTTTGACCAATAAATTCAGGAACACCCTGTGTATATGTAAGATATAAGAAAATACAATGGCTGCTTTAAAAAGAATTGGTGTCCTCAAAATTAACTATTCTAGATTTGGTGCTGTTTCCCTAAAGTCATCTGTTTTCCCAAATTCAAAATCCTTCCATAACTTTGAAAAGGTGACTAAAACTAATATTAACCAATCATAGCTTGTCTCTAGAATTGCATCTACAGTCAAAAGTCTAATTCGAACTCGTTGGGACTTTGGCGATTCCGGATTACAGATCATCAGTTTAAAACTGGTAAGATGGCATGCAGAAATTACACAATTAAAAATATGAAACCATAATTTATGAAATAAAAAACAATTATGATCTAAAGGGTATCAAAATTTGCAAAAAAAAAAAAAAAAAAAAAAAAAAAAAAAGGCTTAATATTTATTTGTTTACTTTATTAAACATTTCTTTCAATGCGCACATGTGTAAAGCATACATTACGCATAGTTGAAATTAGAAAATTGCAAACAGAAAACTATTTGATGTGTATTCGTGATATTTATAATGACGAGGAATTTGATTTAAATCATATCAAAGGCAGAGACATCGAGATGAAATTATTATATGTTAGGAATAATATAGAGCAATATAAATCATATCAAGGCTAACAAAAAAAAAAAAAATATTTAGCAAAAAAAAAAAAAAAAAAAAAAAATAAAAACATCTGCTCTGAAAGATCAACTTCCAGTTCATTGTGTGCCGCGACCCCCCCCCCCCCCCCCCCCCCCGCGCAGAGCAGCGTGAAATTGATAAACAGATTTCGGAATGGTTAGAGAAACAAAGGATATGCTTTTATCCATTTCTTGCAGCAATTCCACTTTTTCTTTGATGGACATCCAAACATGCTTTCGCTTTGTAGATCCTTTGGCACATCCAGAATCGGAATTTCTTTTTGACATAATCGAAAGTTTAAGCTTACTTTTATAAAATTGCTCTAACAGTCTGCGAAAAATAATATGCCGGATCCAATTAGAAGATTAAGGAACAACGTAATCTGCAACATTAACTAAAATAGATAATTTTAGCTTAGCTTATACAATATGTTATACATTATACATGCCTGCATAAACGTATTATGCGCATGCATAAAGGTATTATGCACATGTGTAAATGCATAATGTGTTTACGCATGCGCAGAAAGTTTGTAGCTTTGAGGTCCGGATTATAGATCATTCCGGATTAAAGACTTTTGACTGTACTTTGATATAAATACCACTGGCGAGTTAATTACGTCGTTCCTTTCCTAAGCAAACATCTCTATGCTGCTATGCCCTCCTTTGTTCTTTTTCAAAGATGATATTTTTGGATGCGTACGGGTTTGTAATAAATTGAATGCATAACGTTGATAAAAAGTGAATAAAATTTATTATCACAATAAATAAAACAAAATGCTTAAATCTCCTCAGATATTTGTACAATATTGCAATATCTCACAGTAGATGTTTTTTAAACTAGCAAAACTTTCAACAGAACTAATTCAAAATAGAGAAAGCTAATCCGATGTCCCTGTGAATTCGCTACAGTCAACAACAACAGTTTCCTAAACAAACTCATAACAAAACTGAGATAAGAGGTTTTGATCTCACTTTATATAAGCTTTTTAAACGCACCAGCACATTCTAGTAGTTTTCATTTTTCTGCTGTAGCTTTCTCTTCAAATAAGATGCGTGCAGCATAGCACGGGGAAATGAAACAATTTAATAACAATTCTATTTAAAAATATCTAATTTAGTACAAAAACCATAACACTATAATGTGCATATAACAGGGTTGCCACGCTACCTGGAAAACCGGAAAAAGTCAGGGAATTCGAAAATTGACCAAAATATTCAGGGAATTTAAGTATTTTTGTCAAAATCTGGAAAAGTCAGGGAAGTTCATACAACGATCCCGCCAAAAAAAGCGATTTTTGCGCCGACGTCGGAGAGGTAACTTTTTTGGCGAATTATGTATCACGTGAGTGTCATTCGGGTAGCTGGCATAGAGCCAATTTTAGCAGCTCCAATTTGATTGTCTTTTAGAAAGGCAAAGCAACTTTCCCGCAAACTTTTGGTTTCCAATATTCTCGAGAATCGCATGTGCAGTGCATGAACTAAAGAAAGTACCTGTTCTCGTATAAAACAAAATGGGTTTAATCCTAGTATACGGTACCATGGAGGTTAGAATCAAAGAATATGTATTGTAAAGAAGGAAAACCTCTCTGCAACAGACGTGGCTGTGGCTCCGTTCCATCATAGAGGGAAAACAGCTGTGCATGTCTGATATATCTGTCGCCAAAGCTCGAAACCGGTGTCGAAGTTCGAAGGTCACGTTATCAAGAGTTCATAAAATGAATATCGTTTAAAATTTCTTTAACCACTTGCGCTAAAAAGACGTGCCACGCACGTCAAGATGCTTTTGTCTCAAACCGCGAGCGACGTGAACACCACGTCGATAAGCATTTATCGCAAAAATGAAAATAACGTGGTGCACACGTCGCCTAACAACGAGATTGTTTATTTCTCGAGTTACAGCTCTGGATTGCACTCGCAGATGCGGAGCGGCGTAAATGAGACACTTTACCGCTTGTTATATTGTAGCGCACGGCACCGCAACCGTGAAGTTTAGTCTTAGCGCAAGTGGTTAAACTCTAAAGGAAAAGAAAATATTTTTTGGCACAAGTAAATTAATTCATGGATTAGTTATTTTCAGGGGGGGGGGGAAAAACTACGAAAATCCGTTTTTAAAATTATTGCGAAAAATCCAAGAAGAAACGTCCTTTGATAAAACGTTTCTTCTTGGATTTTTCGCAATAATTTAAAAACGGATTTTCGTAGTTTTCTTTTTGTCAAAGAGCGTTTCTTCTTAACACGTGTTTCTCAATTTCCTGTACACATCGCGGAGAGGGAAATTCTGGCCGCCAGGTTCCGTCGCCAAATCCCTTGGCAAATTTTCCCTCCGCATTCTAGCGGCGTAATAGCATTTTACTTGTATGGAACCTTTTCTTCTTTACATAGACGTTCTTTGGTTAGAATAATAATGGGATTTGGCGACATCTTGATGCGCAGTAAACGGGTCATTTTGGTCTTGGCGACAATTTTCAAAATCGTGCCAAAGCCTTACCGTATACTAGAATTTTACCGCAAAATCTTTTTAAACCTTTTTTTTTTTCTTCTTTTTAATAAATACCTTGCCATTTTGCAGTAAAATAAAAAAATAGTAATCAGTCATCTAGGCTAGCCATGTAATATAGTTATATTCGCTAAAATATCGTTGATTATTCTAATTCAATTTTTAAGTAATTATTTTATGTTATTCATATAATTTAATGTTGCTTCTTCCCTCTAAATTTATTTATTATTAGTAAATAATATTTCCAAATTTCAGGAAATTTTCTCTGGCATAATCCTGAAATTAATTATAGCAGTATGATGACATACCATCACGAAATTTAATGCACATATTTTTTCCTTATGTATGCTGCGAAATAAATATAAAATACCTCAATTTATTAAAATAGATTTCTTTCTTTCGTTTAGCTGCAGAATGTCTGCAAAAAAAGCCTTATTTTATTCCAGATTGGGAAGATTCTAATCTCAATCTTCAGTGGAGAAAACAACAACTATTATAATTATATTTGTGTTTTCAAGTGTTAAGGTGCCTTTTAAGAACATACCTCACGCAAATTAAATTTACCTAAAATCTAACCTAACTATTTAGCATTGCGTTGTGATTTATAAGGACCGGATTAGCCTCGTGTTGAACTGGTGATGATCATGAGTAATAATTAAATAAAACATACATTTGTTATCCAATATATATATCTTAAATTTTATTAAGTTTCTTAAGTGGAAAACTAAACAAAATTATCAAGCAAAGTATACCAAGAATAATTAAGAATAAATGTCCTCTGGGAGTTATTGAATAATTAAGTGAATTTGCTACACAATACAAGTAATACCATAATTAATTTACATCTTAGCACAGCCAACGTACATTACGCGGATAGACTGGAATTTTCTTGAAACACTACTGGAAAATATATACTGCTGGAAAAGTCAGGGAATTTCATTCTCCTGTTTGAGTGGCAACCCTGATATAATAAATATTATTTGTTTACGATCTAGAGGTATTTTATCTAGTAAGAAATGATTTGATATGGGCCAAAATAAAGATTGTGATACTTCAAGCTCAGTTGTGTTAAATGAGTCATCAGTGCCTTTTACGCAGCCCTAACTACAGCCACAAGGTGCTAAAATATACCAGATTTCTTCATCTATGCATTTAAAACATGACATATACATAGATTTTTTATTGTGAAAACATTAAGAAAAACTTTCAATTGTATATATAATTTTTTTAATAAATTTTTAAAATACAGGTATGGGAGAAACAGTTTGTCTAAAATTGTGGCTTTCTGACCGAGATTATTTTTAAATAAAATAAGTCAGCCTCTAAAAATGAGCTCTCAGATTTTACATTGGTTAGTCTGATAGTCATTAGTAAATCATTCTATTTGAATATTGTTTTCTGTGAAATTATTCCAGTTCTTTGTTGATTTAAATCCTTATTTTTGATCACAATTGGTTTTTGTGGGATTCTTTGATTTTGGTCTTTGTTAAGAATGAAAGTTTTTCCTTCATTTCTAAAGTAGCAGCTGGTGTAGAATGAATTGGGTTGAGAATTTTGAAAATTAAAATCATGCATTATTTCAGCTAATATCACAGCATTCAATTTAGTTTTACTTATATATACAATCTGTTATAGAGGTATCCCATAAATATTGGTACAGACTTTTAAGGGAAGGAAGGACATATAAAAAGGATTGAGAACTGAAATAGGAATCCATGACTGAAAACGTCATGGGAAAGTGATGTCACAGGCA